AGCAGCACCGTACTGCCCTGCAGAGTTAAGTCTGCGTAGACGTCACCGACGTTTTCATTTTTTCTGGAGAACTTTTCCATGTTTTACACATACAGCCCACCGGCGTACAGGACCATGACTTCACCGCGATTTCACCCCGTGCTGTTGTCATGTTGTCATTGAACCATGTGTTCTCTGGAAACACACAGGCCGGATAGCTCACGACATCTCTCCAGAAGGAGCGATGCACACGAACTCCGATCCTCATCAGAAGAAACAAAACCAAGCGGTCCTGAACGAAAAGAAGAAGAAAATAATTCCCCCGGGCGCTATACACGAAACCTATGACAACGCCGGCACGGGCGGCGTTTTTCCACTATTATTTTCGACCAGCTAATGGCGTCATTTCCACTCACTAACCCTCCGACTCCGACCCCAAGAATCTAAGACCACTAGGGACTAAAACTATGACGTCGGATATTTATATACTAATTAAAAATATTAAACGTAAACTAACGATAAAACCTATTTCATAACTCTAGACTAATTTACGAGATGGATTTATTAAACCTAATTAATTCATGATTAGTCTATATGATGTTAGAGTAAACCTATGCTAATTATAGATTAATTAAGCTTAAAAAATTTATCTAACGAATTAGCTCTCATTTATCAATTAGTTTTGTAATTAGTCTATATTTAATATTTTGAATTAGCGTTAAACATCCGATGTTATAGTGACTACAGTTTAGTGCTTAATCCAAACACCACCTAGTTCCCCTCTAGTTCGGCCAACAAAATACTTGTATAATAATCTATCCCTGCCTGCCCATTCATCCACTCTCAATAATCAATCATTTCTTTTTCTTAGTTAGCAGTGGAGTGCTAATCTGTGTCGGACTCCATAATCTCTAGCACACACCGGTTAATTATTCTGTCCTCCTCCTCCGATTACCGATCTCTCCCATCGATTCGGTCTCCTTACTACTCGATCTCCTCCACGTCTCTCGCGATATCCCCTGCGTTCGTGGAGAGCATGTACGCAGGCTCACGCACGCACGCACGCGTGGTGGGTGGGCGGCGACGTACGATAATACTATTCCCGATCCGTCCCACCCCTCGGGGGGGAAAAGGAAACCGCACGGAGAAATCCAAGCATTTCCACCCCGCGCGGCAAACTACCTGGCGCGCGCTAGCTATTCCTTTCTTGGGCTCTCGCGGTCGCGGTCGCGCACGGGAGGGGGAGAAGCAGCCGTGCGGGCGGCGGAGTGGGATGGAGTATGGTGCGCGTCGCCAGCGTACATCGCGGGATGCGATGCGACCCGTTCAGATCGATTCACCCGTTCCCTCTCGAGTCTCGACAGAGTTGTGCTTAGGTTTGGACCGAGCGGCCGCGGTGCAGGGTGTGCAGCGGCGGCGGCGGGGGCGGGCCGAGTCGCGCCACGGAAGTGTAACGTGCACGTACGGTCGCTGTCACGCAGATTTGTGGAGTAGTAAAGCTAGTGGGAAATTGGGAAAAACGGTTAGGAGGAGTGAGATGGTTGCTTATTTGGCAAGATGAAGCGCCGTGCGGCTAAGCTGCTAGCGTGCGATCGGCAATGGTATTGAGGCTAAAAATAGTGATACTGTGATATGTATAGAACTGATTTATGTATAGAATTGCCTGTTATATGCTGACTGTAACTAATTCATCTTACAATGTGTCTCTGCTAATTGTAATTCGGAATGGCTTAAAAAAACATTGGACGGTTTTTTCTGCTCAAAACTTTTGAATTTTCTGATCCTCTGATCGCCTCGAGATTTGCACAGGATGGGAAAAATTACACACGCATGCTGAAGCCAAGAGTCGAATTACAGGATGGCTGAATGCTTGCTTGCTAATCGTCCACACCATTTGTTTTATCCAATTATATTTGTGCATATATAAGTTAAGTTGTAACTATATTATAGATACAATGTAATTATACCCCAATTATAATATAGTTATAATTAAAACATTCATTAAAAAATGTTGAATGTTTTATAGATACTCCCATTATATTTATGGAAAAGAAAAAAAAAGGCAAGGCAGGCAAAATGATATAGTAGTTCAAAAGCGAACATGTGTGTGGAGATGCACTTAAACCCCCTAGTGGGTTTTGGTGATTAATGACAAGGTGGTTAAAGGGGACTAACGTGTTTATCAAGTTTATTCACAGGAGTTTAGTCCCAAAGCGAGTTGTGATGGCTAAGAATGCAAGGAGACCCCCCAATTCGAATGTTCCTAAGTGCAAAAATCATCGAAGGTGATTAGACTAGGTTTTTCACTTTCGAAATTGAGTTTAGGAAAAACCGTACTATTAAGAGGGGTTTCAAGTGTGGTTCTAGGGTATACAAAGTGCTCTTAGTCTTATCCATGAGTCAAAAGATTTTTGGAATCATTTTTGAAAAATGTTTTTCTCCCCGGGACAGAGAGGGCTACCCGGAGGTTCTGGCCGGAACTTCCGGGCACCGTTTATTTGCAAAAATTTCCTAAGTGCTGCCCGGAAGTTCCTGGCACTTTTATCCGGAACCTCCTAGCAGGTTTCCAGTTCAAACTTGTGAGTAACAGCTAGATGGCGTCACCTAGCCGTTATATATATGGATTTCATCCCCAGGTCACCTTTTGGCGATTCCACTTCTGTTCATTCATGTTCTAGGGTTTTCTAGCCACCCCCAAGCTTCATTTGCTTCCTCCACTCAAATCTAGAGCATATCTTGTGAGATTATGAGATTAGATGAGAGTGTAGGAGTGTTTTGGAGATGGCTTGAAGATTAGGTTTGATTGAGCACTTTGGATATCTTGTGGGCTGTCACTTGGGCTTATTACTTTTGGAGATCTTCTCCTAGACGGTTAGGTGTTGCCCGTGAGCTTCCAAAGATCTTGTGGATGTCCCGGGAAAGTTTGGGAAGGTTTTCCTCACCTCCACAAGGAAACAAGGTAAGTGAGTAAAGATTCTTGTGCTGAGTTTTCAGAGGTTGTCCTAGGTAGAGCAACTTGCACTTGTGGTCTTTTCTAGAAGAAATTTTGAGTTGGATCTTGGTGGTCACTCAATTCTAGAAAATGACCTAGAAGTGTTGAGTTGAAGGCTGTGGACCTCTTCTGGGATCTTTTCATAAGTGAGGCAAGGGGTTAATCGAGACCCGGCTCTTTGGAGCACCTCAACGGAGAGTAGGATTCGTGTAATCCGAACTTCGGGAAAAAAATCGTCTTTGTCTCTCTTGTGTATGATCTTTGTATGAATCTGCTGATATTCTGCGATCTTCATCTTGTTCCTCTGTGTGCCTAAACTTCCCTTGCTAGGACATGTTTTTCATCTCAGTTTTAATTTATCTCAGCTGCCCGGAAGTTCCTGGCTCAATAACTCCAGAAGTTTCGGGCTACTCATCCTGCCCGGAAGTTCCGGTGTTCATCACCAGGAGGTTTCGGGCCCTGTTAATTTAACCGCTGTAATTGTTGAGAAAATTTCAGGAAAGCCTATTCACCCCCCCTCTAGGCTACATCTCTACACGTTCAGTGTGAAGTGGACATAGCTCTCAACTGGTTAGATTAATTGTGGTGGAACCTACCCATCAGGTTAAATACTAGGCTTGACAGGGGTGCTCATATTTACAATTAATTATTCCAACAGTGGTTGGTGACATACCGTCAATAGCTAGGCGTCTGTGATGATTTTATCAATCTTAAGATTAAGATACATGTGTTTATGCTCATAAGGATAAGTGTCCGTGTATTATGAGCGTCTGCGTCTGTACTTTTTAAAGAAAAAAAGACGAATATATATCAAACAGAGGAAGTAGTAATCGTATTTACAAATGTACTAGGTCAGACGGTAAGCACTTAATTTAGAATCTCCAAGACAATATAACTCTCTGTGTTGCAGATCATGTCATTACGGATCTCAAGTGGTTGTGAAGATACCACCATTCAGGAAAGCTCATTTATTGTATTCTAACCCATTATTAGCATTTGATTGTATAAGTTGATCGGGCAAGCTCGCAAGGCGCCTATGGTTAGTTTTCCAACGGGTTCATTCTAATTTAAGATGAACAAACCTACTGTATATCCAAGCTTACCAAATAATAAGGTTGCCAGCAGATGCTAAGATGACGTGCAATTTGTTATAAAACCATTTAGCCATGTATAGTGTGTTACAAGAATAAATATTTAGGGGTGACATGAACTATTCTGTTGATTTGTTGTCACTTACCACATTGAAGATTTTTGAGCAACTTGCCACCAAGCGACATGATCATCTAGATAAAACAAATTGTATGCTCATTAGGACTCAAAATATTCCAATCCATTAGAAACTGTGGTTCTTAATCAAATGTTTTAATGTACTCTTTCTTGAAACATCTATTTAACCATCTAAGTATTATATATGTCGTAAGTAGTATTTATAGCTATTGAGTTATCATAACATCTAGTTAGGAGTACATAACATGGTCATCTAAAACTTGACGCTTTGTGAATAATGGCATTACTATAGCCGTGTAGGTATCATTTATAAAAAAAAATTCCAAAACAACAAGAAAATCATGTCACAAAAGACATTCTATATATTCACGTATTAGACAAGTTGTATAGATACAATTAATAGCCCATAAGACATATCACAACTCTTACTCGTTTGTGAATACTGATGTCAGTTGGTGTAACCCGTTACCACATCTCAAAACTATAATGGCACTATAAGTTCAGAGACATATCATTACTATGCTACTATAAGAAAAATAAATGTTGAGCCCAGTACAAAAATAATTCCGCAATGAAACATGAGCCCCAACGCCACAAGGTTTCTCATAACACATTGGCAGTACCCCCATTTTGAACACATGCGGCATACTACTACGATCGATTTTGACCGCCAGTGTGTGCGCCAATAGTGCGGATTAGCTGCTGACAGCCCAGAAGAAGGTACTGAAGAAAAGAGGGGATCAGTGGGAGAATCGCGATTAGCACCCGCGGGCGGGCGCGCACATAATTAGTACAGTAGCAGTGAGCGTCATCAAATTCGCCCCCGTTTCCCTTTGTCCTCCATGTGATTCCTCCCGACCGAGCCCGGCCTTGTCCCTTCTCCTCCTCATTCATTTTCCTCTTCTTCTTCTTCCCACCTCCCCTCCTCAACTCTCCCCCTTCTCCTGCACCTCTGATCGTGACGAGCCATTACTACTACTAGCTCGATTGCTCGAATCCCTCCTCCCCCACTCCTCCGCCATTCACCCGCCTAGCCTCGCGCGCACTCGCGGTGTATATATCTATCCGGCAGCTCGATTTGTGGCCTTGCCGGTGAGGTTTGTGAGCTGTGGGCGGCGTAGCATGCGGCGGTGAGAGATAGAGAGCGAGAGAGAGAGGATGCAGCAGGCGTCGTCGCATCAGCATCACTATCAGCACAGCGCCAAGCCTCCCGTGTCGCGGAGCTCGTCGTGGATCCGGAGGTCCCCGCCGCCGTCGCCGCCGCACAAGAAGCTGTGGGGAGGCGGCGGCGGCGGCGGCGGTGGGAGGAGCAGGTATGTGTGCCGCATCGTGCCGCTGCTCGTGCTCACCGTGTACAGCATCTTCACCGTCGTCCGCATCCCCAGCTCCTCCCTCGTCGTCTCCACCGCCGATTCAGGTACTCCCCCACCCACCGCCGCCGCCGCGCCCGCCGTCGGCTTCTGGGTTGATTGCTTCGCCCCCCCCCCCCAACCGATTTCGGTGTCCTTTAATGGCGGTGATTCTTGTGCTTCGCAGAGCGCGTGGAGCGGCGGGAGGATGTGGAGGCGTTCAAGACGCACCTGCCGTCCAACCAGAACAACCTGGAGGCTCGCGAGGAGACTCGCTCTCCGGCGTCGCTCCCCTGCTCGGCGCTCATCAACGGTGAGGAGAGGAGCTAATCGCTTTTGCTCAGCTGGATTGATTGCTGCTGATTCATTGGCGGTTTGGGGATGGTGTGCTAATCGGGTGGTGCGCAGGTGAGGCGGGCGGCGGGCAGGCGGCGGCGGAGAGCGCGCTGTGCTGCGACCGGAGCCACTACCGGAGCGACGTGTGCTACCTCCGCGGCGACGTGCGCACGGACCCGTCCACCTCGTCGGTGCTCCTGTACAACGCCCCCCGCGGCAGCGCGCCGGAGAAGGTGCGGCCGTACACCCGCAAGTTCGAGGGCAGCATCATGAGCACCATCGACGAGGTCACCATCGTGCCGGTGGTCGACGCCGGCAGCGGCAGCAACGGCACCACCGCCGGCGACACCGGCAAGGACAGCCTGCGGCGGCGGTGCGACGTGCGGCACCCGCCGGGCGTGCCGGCGGTGGTGTTCTCGACGGGCGGGTACACCGGGAACGTGTACCATGAGTTCAGCGACGGGCTGATCCCGCTGTTCATCACGGCGCAGCGGTTCGCCGGCGAGGTGGTGTTCGTCGTCCTCGAGTACCACTACTGGTGGCTGGGCCGCTACGGCGCCGTCCTCGAGCGCCTCACCAACTACAAGGTGGTCGACTTCCGCTACGACCGCCGCGTCCACTGCTTCTCCGAGATGATCGTCGGCCTCCGCATCCACGGCGAGCTCGTCGTCGACCCCAAGCTCATGCCCAACGGTACGCCCTCCCCCCCCCCCCCAAATCCCCACCCTTCGCAATTCCATTTCCACATTCGTTGAATCGCTTTGCTGTTGCGACGTCCATTTGGTTCTTGGTTCGTTAGGATTGTCCCCCACCACAATTCCAATTTCATCCCACGATTCCGGTTACTAGTAGTTTTTCCGTTAGAATTTCGGGATCCACCTGTGGTGGTGGTTGATGCAGCAGCAAGCTTGCTTGAGAAGAGGGGGAGTAGCGTAGCGATGGCGATGCGGTGAAAAGGCGTGCGAGAATGAATTCACGCTGATCTCCTCTCTCGCCGTGATCGAGAATTCGAGATCCGTGCTAATGCTGGTCGGAGAAATCATTCGTTCCTACGCATCGAGGCATCGTGCTCGCCTATACTACTAGTTACTGCTACAGTTAATTTACTCCCCGTTTTGTCGTGGCAGGGGCTAATTAATTTGCAGCGATCAGTTAATTTGCCTTACCATTTCGTTTTTTTTTTACCCCTACAAGTAGGTAGTACAGTTTGCTGTTACGGCTAGTAGGTTCGCAGAGCAGCGTGGTACAGTGGATTGCACGCGCCGCCATCCTTCCTGTGCCGGTGCGTTTCGTCATCCGCCGCGCGCGCGCGCGTGCCCGGCGTCTCGCCGGTATTAAAACGGCATTGGCAGTGTGGGCTTTGTCACCTGTGCGTGTGCGGCGAGTGGGTGGTTTGGTTGGGGGAGAAAAAGAAAGCGGAGGAGGAGCTAGCGATGGTGGGTTGGGTTGGGTTTGTGTCTGCTAGGGGAATCTTGCGGCGATCATGAGGCGCGGGCGAGATAATGGCGCAGATTATAATACGCCGCGGTGGATGGATGGACGGATGGGTGAGCGAGTGGATTGGCAAGAAAAGATGGCTTTTGCAAAAGCGCTGCGGGGAAAAGCGGGTTTGTTCCTCACAAATGCGGGGGTGCGAGACGGACGCCGGTGGTCGCATCGGCCAGCCAATCGGCGCCTCCACCACCGCTGCTCAACGTGCTCGTGTCCCCCGCCGTTTTTGTGCTTGCTCGGAAATTAGGGCCTCCTTGGGAACAAAATGATTTTTGCCCGTTTCCTTATAAACCAAAGCCAGAATTTATAATTTGGAACTTAATTGTCTTGTTTAGTTCCAAACTTTCAACTTTTCCATCATATCAAAACTTTCACACACTCACAAACTTTCAACTTTTTCGTCACATTGTTCCAATTTCAACCAAACTTCTAATTTTAGCGTGAACTAAACACAGCAGAGTTGATTTGGTTCGTTTATTTTTGATTCGTTTCCTTACCAATTCTGCTCATCAAGCAGTAATGTGTATCACCACCTTGGTTTAGTTGATGGTGTTAGAAGAGTACCTTGATTTGAATTTTGAAAATGGCTATGCTAATCGGAATGAGGGAGAAGTTGAATCTCAATTAAGTAGTCCAACTGAGATTTGAAATACTTTATGTCAGATTTGGGCATCGTTTATTTATGGGGGTAGGAAACGCAAGAGGGGCTCCACAGCAGCAGTGTACCTACCTCCATCCACTCCACGTCCAGCTTCACAAACATAGAGTTGGTTGCACAGTCCAATTAATCTGGCCGACCCGAGTTATTATAGTGTGTTCTTCCATTTATAGCCCAATGAAATCCATGTACCGCACCTAATAAATAAAGAATATAAGATAATCCCAGCCACTGTTACTGTAGCAGATCTTGGGCTCGCCGCAGTAAACTACAGTGTCCCCCCGGCATTGTAAATCACACCATTTACAGCACGTTACTCCTGCAGAGGCGAGATTAGTATATTGGTTAAGCCTGGGTTAGCAAGAATAGAACCGGAGATGCTGCATCTGCATGTGCATGGAATTGTTTTGATCGACCAAGCATGTAGGGGCGAGCCGTGTCTGTGTTCAGAGAATCGGCTTGCCTCCGCTACATGTCGGAGGCAAGCCGTACTTCCTAAAATCTCAGAAAATTACAACTGGGTCCCCTCCCTAGGCGCGTGTGGTTTTTGTTAATCAAAGTGAGGATTAAGATATAGAAATGGACAGGGCATTCGTTAATCGTGATGCGCTGTGTTGATGTTACACAGTTTAATTTGTTTAAAACTACAGTACGTCCTTATGTTGCCCCTTCTTTGAATAGCTGTCCAGGGTTAGGATCCCCAGTCTTTTATATGCTTGTCTGTCAGTTGTAGTGAAGCTACACAGTCCATAGCATGAGAGCCCGGTACAGCAACGGCATCTCTTTCTTTTTCTCCATCACTTTTTGATTGGAACTCACTAGAATCCTTGCCTTCAATTTGCTGCTCCTAAGCCCTGTGCTAGTGTGCTACAGCCTCATGAAGATAGAGTAGCCATTAATTCGAAATTTTCGTTTTTTAGTAGTACAAGATTGCACGCAACATCTAGCTGAAGAGCACGGAAATGATATGCATATAGTCTCCTGCATTTTGTGTCCATAAGTCGTATATCTGATTATGATGGATAATAATATCTTTGCTAGGAAACCAGTGGACAATCGTATAGCGAACACTTTTTAAGTATGAAAACCAACGTTTGTCCATGCCTAACAATGGCTCTAGTTGCGTGGGAATCCACAGCATATATTCTCCATCATAAATTTCTGCTCTTTTTTCTTTCATAAAACAATAGAGAAGAGGAGCCTTTCATAAAGTGATAAGGAGATATGTCAAAAACTTTGGGCTTGACTGGGACATGTAGGGACTCGGAGGCGCCGGCCCTTTGCTGGTGTGGCTCTCTCTCTCTCTCTGTAGTCTGTAACGACCATGCATATAGAATGCCGTGGTGTCCTAATCATCTGAGTGGGATTAGTTGTTGTTTGGAGTACCAGCAATTCATTCGAGGTGATGCTATGTAGTACTAGTTGCTCGGAGAGATGGGCATCACCCCGGCTGGTAACACATTACTGTCAAGAGTGGCATCAAACAGGCCTCTATTTCTACGTGCCTGCTGCGATGTGTTTCGATCGCTTCTGCTGAGCTTGGCATGGAGGGGATGGTGACCTATATATCTTGCTGGGACCATATGCCACGCTCTGATGCAAGGAGAGAGAGGTGTGTAGTAGAGAGAGAGAATTTGGGCGGTTAGCTAACCAAAAACCGCCACAAAGGCAAACGGCCTCCGGATGCATCATCCTTTGTTTCGCCCATCAGCGTTGGGTATGTGATGATGCATCTGGTCCGTGGGATGACGTTTTGTGTAGGACAGGTCACGTTGGTGTGTGGACCTTGTTTAAGGTAGCTAGCTGCTCGTGTAATGTAATGGCATGCCTTTTGTTGATCTCGCTGATGCGTGGGCCCCCGGTCACTTTTCTTGAGCCCCTTGAGGTCCAGTAGTTTTGACTTTTGAACCTCTATAAAAGTACTAGAGTGTAAAAATCTCGTCTTAACTCTTAAAATTATTTGTGATCGCGTCGACTTATTAAAAAATGTCTTCCAAACAATAGTGCACAGCTTGCATGGTAGAAAGAACGTCTGGTTTTCTGGATTGTACTGTGCTATTCTGTCTCGGGATGCCGTCTACTGTGACACTTGCTCGTGTCACATACTCACATGCCGTAGACTGGTGTATTTTACTAGCGCAAGATACCCGTATCTAGAACTGTAGCAGCAGATGTCACGTGAGTTTTCAGGAGTGCACAGTGATACTGTGATAGTAGTATTATGGACTAGTGGCAAATGGATTTGCATATCCCCTAGTAACAGTAAAGTTAAAACGATGGTACACTAGGCAATATCTGATTTGGTGGTGGGGGTTTACCATGTGTAGTTATATGGAATTAGTCAATAGGATGCATAGGATCGTGCACTCAGATTATTTTGAGCTTGAAAAATTCAACCTTTGATACTAATCTCAGAGATATATAAAAAAACGAAATACACCACAAGCTATAGTCACAACACAAGGCAAAGCTGGCTAAAGTAGCGCACATAGTTGAATTGATAAAGTCCATGTGATCTGAAGTAAAAATCGAGTCGATTTAATAACTGGGAACCCCAAAGCAAAGGTTCGTGATTGACCTAAGGGTTGGAACTCTTTAATGAAAGGAGAGCTGAGAGCCTGAGAGCTTGTGATTACCACTGAAAGGTCATTGGACTACCAAAAGAAAAGCCCTCAAAAGGAAAATTTAAAAGCTCTAAGAAAAGAAGGGAAAAGAAGACATGATCATTGATCAGAGGGTTGAGCTGAGTGAGTAGTAATGATAATAATGGGTTTAAAGCAGGTGCAAAGTTATGGCCAGGGTGTCGGTGGGTTTGAGTCGGTACAGTTTGGTGGACACATTTTAGGGTATAAAAATGATTGCACAGTTTTTTTTTTTAGATAATGGATTGCACAGTTTATATCCGTAGGTTTTCTGTTTGGATCTCAATGTTTCCCTTTCGCTTGCTTAATTAGTGTTAGCCTGATATGCATTGATAACCATGAAGGTATCAAAGTACTAGTATGAGGTAAGTCCCATTAGTCTTTTCCACGTTGATATTCAGCTGGTTGCCGAATCTTCATTGCTCGCGAGATTCATGCTAGTGCTATTCTTAGGCACATGATTGGTCGGCCATTGGTGCATACTGAAAATGAAATAGTACAAACTAGTCGAGACAGTAAAACACATTTGGTTGGTTTGTAGTGTGCTGAGTGAATTACTACCATCCTAGAAAGAAACTAGAGTTGACATAAAAAGAAAAAAAACAATGTACTTAGGTATATTTATCAGATTTTTTTTATGCTCCTCCTGAACTTTAAGGTTCGTTACAAGTCCCAGCCTTCAAGAATTGGACAGAAACATTTGAGGGGAGCAGGAAGGTCTTTAGGAATTGTGTACAAAGACTACGATCGTAGTACACCAAACCACTAAAGTATACCAGTAACCAGCCTAGCTACCACCAGATCAGTTTCCATGGCCGGAGAGGCTGCGATGTGAAGCAACTTTGATCAAGCTGTCACGCCCAGATCTAGCCTGGTCAGGCGGTACAATGTGATGTACAGTGCAATGGAGCAGAGAAAGCCCTGGAGAGCAGTTGGATCAAGTGCCATGGACCCAGCCATCGTCGTGCAGGTTGGTGGTAGCTTTAGGTTCACGATGGTTGTTGGTCGTCGCCGGAGGCTAGCTAGCTGAGCTAGCCGGGCACGCACGCAAAGGCGTGGCTAGCGTGGAGCTTGCTGGCTGGCTGGCTGGCCAAGTGAGAGAGCGAGTAGTAGCTAGCTGCTGCACCCCGTTTGTTTGTCCTCGTTTGGGTAAAGCCATCGAGTGATCACTGATCAGTTTGGTCAATATGGGTGGGAAGAGCAGACGCCATTGACGGGACCATTCCGCAGTTGCGCCGCTGGATCGCCGGACCGTCGTTGGATGCTGTTTTCCACAGGCGACCAACCGATGATTGGTGTTTGGAGACACTCGTAAAACTGCTTTCGTACTACACAGGATAGCTGTACAAGGAATAGTGAGGCTCAGAATTCTGGACTGAAATTTTAGAAATTTCGGGTTTACCAATGGGTTCTAGGAGGATGTGATTCTAGATGAAAATTTCGAATCTTTGTGAACTTATTAGATTAGCAAAAAAAAAACATTCTAAAAATTTAAATTCAATATTTTTCTGAATTTTCTGAAGCTTTTGAAATTTCGGTTCCCTGAAATGCGCATGTGCATGTCATATATTACTGGAATGGATCAACTGAAAATGTGAAATTGTATCATGCGATTACTCAGAATTATGCAAAAACTATGCAATTAATCTTGTTTGGAGTATATTGATGGTACAGTAAAAACTATGCAAAAAACTCAAAATGTTGTACTTGCACGTGGTTTCAGGCAAGGGCATCCAGGACTTCCAGGCGCTGCTCCACCAGGGGTACAGCCGGACGCCGTCGGCGACCGCCGCGGCGGCGGCGGCGCAGCCGCCGGTGCCACTCGCGCTCGCGGCGCCACCGTCGCGGCCGTGCCTCCGGCCGGACGACCACGCGAAGGTCGCCAAGCCGAAGCTGGTCATCTTCATCCGGAAGCAGAACCGCGTCCTCCTCAACCTGCCCCACATCGTCACCGCCTGCCGCCGCGCCGGGTTCGCGCCGCACGTCATGAACCTGCGCCGCCAGACCCCTCTGCCCGCCATCCACGCCGCGCTCTCCTCCGCCGACGCCATGGTCGCCGTGCACGGCGCCGCGGTGACGCACTTCCTCTTCATGCGGCCCGGGTCGGTGCTCCTCCAGATCGTGCCCGTGGGGCTCGACTGGGCCGCCGACGCGTTCTACGGCAAGCCGGCGCAGCAGCTCGGCCTCGGGTACCTCGAGTACAAGGTGGCGCCCGAGGAGAGCTCGCTCGCCGCCGAGTACGGCGTCAACAGCACCGTCGTGCGCGACCCCTCCGTGATCAGCAGCCGCGGGTGGTGGGAGATGAAGAAGGTGTACATGGACCGGCAGAACGTCACTGTGAACATCAAAAGGTTCGGCGAGCTGCTCCGGTCGGCGAGGCTGCACCTCAAGAACGCCACCGCCTGCGGCAAGGCCGCCTCGGCGGCGACGACGACCGCGGCGAGGTAGGGGTGGCTGGCTAAACCAAGCTCTCCGTCAATTAGGTGTTAATTAATCAACCAATCAATCAATCACAGCTGTTAATTTGCCCATGTTTTTTTCTCGGTTTATTTTTTTTTTCATTTCATTTTTCTGCTCGTTTTTGGTTGGGGGGTTTGGGAGGAGTATAATTAAGAAGGGTAAAGAAAGGGAGATCCTGTAAATAGAATTGGATTTATTGGTAGGGATCGCCTCCGTGCACAGTGCATTCGTTTTCAGTTCGGTGTTGTTACTAGGAGGGAGAAGAATAATTTATGGTTAGGGGTTCTCATAAATCATCTTCTTTTGTTAGTCTATACTACTAGTTGCAAGAGCTTTTTTCCTTCTTTCTTCTTTCTTTCATTCTTTGGGGTGTCCTGATGTAAGAACAACATTCTGTAACAAAGTGCAATAGAATCCAGACTCTCTTTACAGATCATATATGAACTGTCAGTTTGGCGTTTCTTGTGTGATTACAGTGCAACTAGTTGGAGTTAAAAATGATCACTCCAAAGCCTGAAGGAGAAGTACTCCAGTACAGTGCAGCGCACACATTGTGATGCAGAAAGTGTCAAAAGTGACCAGGGAAAAGTAAAGGCGCGAGAGGGAGGCCCACTTGGAGACAGGACGTTTATTTTGTCCATTTCCGTGTTTTACCGTCGCGGATACCGAGGCGCGAGCAGCACGTGGCGGCCGCGGCTTGTCTTTGGCTCGGACAGCGTGGCTGCTGCGTGCTCCGTGCAGCTGACAGGTGTAGGAGTAGTAGAGGAGAGGGTGTGCGAGTTGAGTGGGGACGTGAACGGCAAGATGGCGCGGTTTACCACGGAATCTGACGATAAATCACTGTCTTTTCCGCTGCGTCCGAAATCCGCAGTGTCGGTCGTGTAGCCTGTAGGGTAGGGAAGACAGGCAGGAGACAGCCACTGAAAATGCAGAAACTGTGCAAGATAACTCGAGGAAAATTGGGGTTGAATTTCCCTTGGAATAATTCTAAACGAATGATGTTTGTTGGCAATAGAGATATTGCATTGGAAATTCTTTGAGGAAATCACGTGCTCGCGATCTACACATTCCCATTTTAAGTGCATTCGTGTCCAACATTTAACTGTCCATCTTATTTAAAAAATTTATAAGAGATATTTTAAAAAATAAATCACACATAAAATATTATTCATATCTTTTCATCTAATAATAATAAAAATACTGATCATAAAAAATTTTTAAATAGATGGACAATCAAACATTGCCATTGAAAGCCACAAGTGCACTTAAAATGAGGCGGTTCACACTTTTAAAATATATTTTTAAAGTACTCTCTCCGTCCCATGATAGTTGTCATTCTAGATTATTTAGAAAAAAAAAACTAAGGTTAAGCAAAAATAACTATAGTATCTCTTATGAGGTTGGGAGTAAGAGAATAGTTATGGGTAGAATGGAGAAAATTTTAAATAGGAGTTGACTGATGTGACAAAAGTTACTCTAAAGTGATAAGCTTTTGTTGAAAGAATTTGAATCCTAAAACGACAATTATTTTGAAACGGTGGGAGTAAATATTAGCCTTTCGCATAAGCATTAAGGAGAAGGATAAGAGCATCATCAACAATGTCCTTATTCCATTTTCAATCCTGATATTTTAAAGATATTATTAGTTGAAAAAACTGCTTCAATAGTTTTCCTCTTCGAACCTATTTAGCACAGCTCTAACTTCTAAATTTAACTCCAAGAGTTAGATTCGGAGTAGAGTTGTGAAACAACCATAACTCACATTCCCCTCTCTAGTTCATTTCGTGAAAACATCCAGTCAGCTCCACTCCTTTTTTAGGTAAAGCTAAGTCAGACTGTTTGACTGAGATCTAACTATAAGAGAGGTGAAGATAGAGCTAAAGTTCGGCCAAACAGACTCTTCCTAAAAAAAAAGGTATTTCTTTCTCCTTTATTTTTGCTCTTCACAAGTTGGAAATCATTATTGCTCAAAATTCCCATCTCGAGATTGTCGTCTGAGAAAAGTGACAAGGGTGGAGGGGGTCCTAGATGGGTGATCGCTGAGCCAGATGACAAAAATATGGAGGGAGGCCCATATGTTTATTTTAGTGTTAAATATAGGCTATATATATATATATATATTAAAAGGAAGAATATATTTAATCCTTAAATTTAATGATTATCTAAAAAGAGATTCAGAGAGGAGATTTGTAACATCTCTTGGATGTGCTCTAAAAGGACTTGATTGTCTTCTCGAGTTGGGTAAGTTATGGGCCCTGACTTATTAGGACCATAATAAAGCCAAAGGATTGTAGGAGTATATGGTAGTTTAGTGATAAAAGTCATATTTTATAAGTAGTAAGTTTTTAATTTTTTTAGCAAAATTTAAACTCTAGAAGTTGTAAAATTTTAAGGCATAGACAGTAAAATATAAATATTTCTGAGTTCTTTACGAGATTTAAGAAATGAGTGAAATTAAATGAGTCGTAACTATGATTAGCAGATATGTGGAGATAGGTGAAAAAATCATATGAAATTGTGGTTACAGTGGGTTGAGATAAAAAAAGGTGGATAAGTATCTATGTTCTAGATAAATTTTAAATATCAATATTTTGAAATGCAGGAAGATAGACATCTACGGGTGCTTCCCACGATATGCTTTACCTTGTGCCAAATGGAATTTACCTTGAAAGTTAAGATAGACATTAAAAAAAGGGGTTCCCGTAAACCTTTGAAATTGGTCCTTCAAATATAAAATATCTCAAACAAAGTGAATGTAGCTTAATTGTTTTAGTTGAAACCAGCCCACCCGAATTTAAGTCATATACTTTACACATGTATTTTCATTTGTGGATAATTCTTCATTCATTGATAGAAATATACTCATCAACCACGAGATATCTATGGTAATTTTATTAATATTAAAATATACCGACTCAGTCATTCGGAGGTGACCACAAGGATACGATGTGCATGTGTATTCATCATCAACCACGAGATATCTATGGTAACTTTATTAATATCAAGATATATTGACTCAGTGAGTCATTCGGAGGTGACCATAAGGATACAATGTGCATGTGTATTCATAAAAATGAGTGTGTGTATGTTGTGAACAACTACGTTTTACTATACGTTTTACTATGTTTCTAAAAAAATAATAGTAAAAAATCCTTCCTTACAAACTCCACCTTATTTTTTTTTCTAAAGAAAGCCACGAAGCTAGTTATATAAAAATACAGGAGCTGATCTTCAATGTGCTTAGACTCATAAAGCCATATTTAATAGGAGCACACAGATTCCATTTTCTTTACAAAGAGCCGTACAAAAGACCTCTGTTAGTTTGTTTACACAACTACCCGTATGATAGTCTTACAAACGCCAGACGGAGGAAGTATCGGAGTAACAGGAATGCCATGATTCTCTCGTCCAGATTCAATGGAAATGAATGGCAGCAGAAAAAATGGATAGAAATGCATATGCTAGCCCCGTTTGCGTCGCTGCATCTGGATGCAGGGGTCGATGATTGTACTACGGTGACCCTTTTATTAATGGTTCTGGCCCAAACAAACATTTACCCAAGTTGTTGGTTGGCGCCGACACCGTCAACAACGCAGGAGCCTGAGCGTCTGAGATCGTCTCTGACGGAATCACGGAGGTGATGGGCACCACAAATAATTCACACCCACTGCTCATGCAATGTCACGATTTGAAGTCGCTACCTGCACTTTATTGTAGGGAGATGTACTACTTGCTCTGTGGGATCTTGTCCCGTCCCCGACACGGCCACATTTTGACAGGCTAGTTGAAGTACTCTTACTATAACGTCACTGCATGGTCCAGGTGATAGTTCCAGCCTTTCAGAATGACCCTGGGGGTGGATCCCTGGGGGGCCTCGAACGAGATGTCGATGGCCATCTTCTCCCCCGGTACGAGGGAGAAGTAGTTGTCGGAGTAGTGGACAGGGAGGATTCTTGTGTCCTTGTAAACATCCTGACTGGATGATGGCTCAGATGTGTGTACCGAGAAATGGAGGAAAAACGAGACGCCTGAATCGGCCCCTTTCACCTCCACTGTTCTTACGTTGTCATCTGACCTTGTGATGATGAGGCCTCTGCGGATTTTCCCCCACAGGCCACTGCTATGTCCATCCTGGATGGCTTCTTCTCCGGTTCTGTCGGAACCGTTTGCATCGGCTAGATTCATGGTTGATACGTTAGCGTTTTCTGGTTTCTTTGATCTGTTCTCTATGGACATTCTGACCTTGTATCCAGAGCCTGAGATGGAAATCTTAGAGTTGATCTTCAGTGGTATCTGTTTCTGACGATACTGTTCCAACAACTTGTAGTCTTTTCCAGGAAGATGTAGCCAGTAAAAGTTCCTGGAGAGTACCTGGTTGTCTGACAGCTTAAAAAGTTTGAGAAGTAGAAAATATACAGGCTTTGGGTTCTTCGTCTTAGGATATGACATCTCCGTGACTTGCTGCACTTTTTTTGGTGGCACTGCTATTTTCTCAGTAACTCTGTAATATGGGGACGCGCCATCTAGATCCCATGCTGAAATTTCGACAGCCACATCCCGAAGTTCATCGGCTGTAGTGTTTACCACCTAGAAAAAAAGTCACTTTTCATGGGCTTATGTCATAGAATGTGTGGTTGGGTTCAGATTTTGCAAGTTGTAGAAATGTACCTCTATGAAGTAACTATCCAAATTCAGCTGTACATGAATTGGTTCAGCAGCACAACGGCAACCATAAAACCCAGCTGTTTGATCTAGGAGATGATCATAGAACTGTCCTCGTAGCCCAGTCCATGGATTTTGTGTCTTCCAAATTAAAACACCTGTAAACTTTGTCCACATGAAAGAAGTCCATCCTTCCAGAAGTGCTCTGTACTGAACATAATTGACCAATTGTGCCTGAAGGTTAAAAACACAATTTAGCAATGAAACTAAAATACATATGATACTGAAGCATAAATATCCTGGAGACAAAAGGATGGTACTCCAAAATTACTTTTTCACAGAAATCGTCGAGATCACTTGGATGGCCATACAGTTCAATCTGATCATGGACTTTCCCTGGTTTTGAGTAGGGGATGTACTTGTGGTAATCCCATATTGGATTTGGTACTTCATTTATGTACCCATCGATCCTCTTCTTAAAAATTGGAATGCTCCAACCTTCTGAGGGCATTGTTGCTCTAATTGTTGCTGCAACTGGAACCCCAACAGACCCAACTTCAGGATTAAACCCATATTTGTAGAAACTGTCCTTGAAAAAGCTCTCTGGATATTGAATCTCATATGGACCATCAGTAAAGTCGCCTTTCCCATTGGCAAAACCATCCCACATTGATCCTTGGACGTACACTCGAGTGCCATCAAGGTATTTACTTGGGTCAGTTGGGTCTTCTGATATATCCTTTCCTGGACTTTTTGTTGTATGGTTACTTACAAACATAGGATGTAACTTCAGATCATTCTTCAGTGCTTTGTTAATGTCAACTGGTGGGACTTGTTCATTTCCACCAACCCATAGAGCTAGGCTAGCATGATTCCTAAGTAATTTGACAGTATCTCTAGCACATAGAAGGAAGAGATCATGGTCCAAAGGACCATTTGGATTTGATATTGGAATTCCTCGTCCATCAACATCTCCAGTTATCCAGAATTCCTGCCAAACCTGCACATAATTGTTGATCCTTTGAGTATCATTTAACATGCCACAGAACCAGGGGAAATAAGTTAACAATAACTAAGGATTTAACTATAATAAATCTGCCACTAAAATATAGAAGAGCATTTAACACTATATCTGGTTTACAAATCCATTCAAGACAATGAATTCCAACAGTGATTATGATCAGTTTCCTGAATCCTAGAAGTAGAGAATAATTGATATTGCTTCAAGAAGGCAACAAGTATATACATAGAAACTTATTACTCTTTATTATGACCCAATGTATTGTAACTTGAATGAGGAAATACAGCCAATCAATTGACAATGATGGAAGGGAAACTTAAGCATACCATCAAACCATAGATATCACAAAAATGATAAAAATCAGGCCTTTCTGCTAATCCACCACCCCAACAGCGAAGCATATTAAAGTTCATATCAGCATGAAACTTGATGTCAGTCATATACCGCTTCCTTGTTAATCGAAGAAGGCCATCTGACAATATCCAGTTCCCTCCTCGGATGAAAACAGGTTCACCATTTACCTTGAAGATCCTGCAGATGAGATATTTGGCAATAGCACGTTTTCACGAGCTCAAGTATTATGTACTGTACTAGACACATAAAATAATCAGTTATACCTCCCACCGGTAGAACCATCAATTGTACTCTCAATCTTACGGAATCCAAAATGATGATTCGATGAATCAGATTCACCGAATCCATTGGCATCCACACCAATCTCAACATTGTATAAGGATTGCTTTCCCATGCCATTCGGCCACCACAGGTTTGGCTTATAGAAGAACAACTGCAAATATTAATACAGAACAGACTTAGTTAATTCGCGCATTTGAGCCTCTCTTGCTATATCATGGCTTCCTGCTGAAAAGAATTATCAATAAACGATTGCACAAGGCAAATGTGTTTACAACAAGTTTCGTGTGCCTTTAAAAAAGGGAACTATGCAAAATTGTTTTAGCAATATTGGATATTGTCCAAAGTAGGGCATTAGTCATGGGATGTACTTCCTGACCTAATATGAAAAAATTCCAGTTTGGTGCTATAATGTGCTACTCTGATGCAAGCTAGTTAGTTGAGAGTATGTTCACCGTTTTTAGTAAATATCTCTTAAAGATCAAAATAGGTAGTATCAATTAGAAGGAAGCGAACAAACTGAAAATAGCCATGATTCCAAACAAAGAAACACATTAATCCCTTCAAAAAAAAAAGAAGAAAAAGAAACACATTGGTACCAACGTTATTTATCTGGTGAATCCCTTTAGTGCTTTAAGAATTCATTGAATTGCAAAATTTCTTAATGTCCCATAAAATTCTTTTGTAAATTAGTGGTGAATTCATTGAATTGCAAAATTTCTTAATATCCCATAAAATTATTTTGTTAATTAGTGGGTATTACATCCTGGAGGAATTTACACACTCAGAATAGTGAGACATAGGGGCTGTTTGGTTGGCTCCCAAAGGTTGCCATGCCAAACTAGAAGAAAGCTAACAAATTGAGAACTGCCACAATTGCAAACTAAGCAACACTAATTACAATAACTATTCATCAGGTGAATCCCTTTAATGCTCAGAGAGTCCATTGGCAAAATTTCTTTACATTCCACAAAATTATTTATAAGTTGGTGAGTATTACATCCGGGAGGAATTTACACACTCAGGATAGAGGATATATTATTTTTTGTTGCTAATTTGTTAACAAATGGCATCTGCTCAGTACTACAAAAATCTTTAGCTAGTCAACAATGTTTTTCTGAGATAGCTAATTTTTAGTGTATCAACATCTTCAAGATCAAATACAATGAGCAATACTGAATAATAACTGGTAAGTGCTAAATGGTATAGTCTGAAAATTCATGGCCAGAAAAGAAATGCAAAAATACGAAAGTGAAGCAAATTTCCCATTTGCAAGCGAAAATATAGCTGTTAATTACAATGTGTATCACCTCTATTGCTAGCTCAGGACAAATGGGCAACAAAATTGAGAACAAGTACACGATTTGTTCCACCTAGGACAAATTGATTGGCTGAACACACTACAATAGTGCATCTTAGCTATGATGAAAATAAGAAATTTTAAAAAGGTAACGACTGAGTTAAAACTAAACAAAGCAATGTCCGAGTTGCTTAAGAAAAGGAAACTCACAGGAGGAATAGTGTACTCTAGAACTGAGTTAGGAGGAACTGATATCTCATAACTCTGTAGATGTTCCACCAGGCAAATGTTCCCCTCGAGTTCAGTTGAAACTTGAATTTTCAATTTACAATCTGAAAGCCATGAACTTCTGTTCTCCAACTGAAGCGTGCAGTGCAGATATGACCTCTTAAAATCATCATAAAAAGTTGAAACTAGGTGGGGGTCCATTATCCTCACAGGCTGCATAAAAAGTATGTAATACACATAAGCACCATCATTGGCTCAACAACAAAAAAACTCATATAATCAACAATCAAGGAATTCATGCAAATAAAGTAAGTATAAAAATACTCATAAAAGAATGCAGGGGTGGAAAAACTCACCCCAGTTACGGATATTGATACTTCATCCCAGATACCAGTGTTTCGATCCCTAGGATGCCGAAAAAGAAATATCAATAAATGTTACAGTTGCGAATTGCTTTTAAGAACCATTAGATTGGTGCTAAAAAAGGAAAGGGTAGCATAGGTCATTCTTGTCATAGGTAGCATATGTCTAGAAGAAACTATAGTAAGTAGTTGTTTGGAAATTTTGATCAAATATTACAGCAAAACAAGACATTGGATACTGTTGGTATCTAGTAGTAATCTTCACTATATAGATTATGAGCTTTGCTGAAAACTGAAATAATTCTAAAACATTTTTTTCACTCAATCTTTGTGATGCTAAGATGATCACTGATCAATCAGTCATGCAACTAAGATTCAGAGTTTAAGTGAGGTAGGCCTACATTAATGCAAAAATTATTCCGTCATGGCACCTAAATTGTACTGCAGTGGTCTTTGATAATAATAATAAAAATTTATAATGATCAAAACAGGCCTTTGAAACTTCAGTACAAAGGCCTTCCTAGATTTGAACTTTGAAGCCAATCTTTAAAAGAAAAAATACAACCCATCTTCAAAATAAAAATTTAAAAGTTCATATATCAACTGGACAACTAGTTCATTGTATCAAGTTAGATGCTTTTACCCATAACACACGGCGACTACTAAACTCTTGGGCATGTTTGGTTTACTTCCTGTAATTGTTAGCACCGAATAGAGGCTTTGTATCCGAATAGCACTCAAACAGTGCACTTATGGATCTTAACATTATGTTGGACAAAATATGCTGGTTCAAACATACCCAGCATAATATGAGCATATTTGGTTCAAACATATGCCCACTGTCATGTATGCCTCCAATATTGTCCCTTGGCTATGAGATATTAAATCAATAATAATAAAAGAAACAAATATGCTGCAGCATGTGCTATGATAGATCACATAACCCAGTGGAAACACTCCATGTGAACCAGTTATAACACTATGCTAACATACAGTCTGCACTTAAGCATTTGGCATTTTGAAATTTTCACAAATTTGAACGCCTGCCAATTTCTTTTCGCAAATGTGAACATCTATCAATTTCTAAGATATAGAGTCATAAAAAACAATCAAGGCGTCTGAAGAGAACCAAATGGAACAAAACAATGTGTCTAAAGAAAAAAAAAACATAGAAAGCACTAAAGCAGTAGCAACTACTACCTTATTGGACACATCCAGTCCCATCCTTCAACATATTGAGTAGCAACATCCTTCCCAATCTGAAAAAGACCACCAATTTGAAAGGTGTGACCATTCATATGCCATGAATTTTCCTTTTCATCAGTAATATTTCCATTTTAAAGAAGAATACTGAACAGAGTAATTTTCCATCCATACTACATAACCATGACTCATTGATATCACTTAGTCTTCACAATGATCTCTTAAAATCGCAATTCCTCAGTCTCTTTGGGTATAAACTACACTACGATGCACGATTCAATTCCCACTTCTCAAAGGAGGTCAAGAGTTATGACTCCCTGAAGTGAGAAAGCCTAGTTACAAAGAACAAAATATGTAAATCATTTTGTAAAGTCATTGTGATATGTATTATAAACTACACTAGATTACACTATAGATTATGGAATGTTCACTTGCAAGCAAGTGCAACTGACTAGATGTTAACTTATTGTAATCTGCAGAGCAATATATGTAAAGCATATTCTAAAGTCATCGCGATACCAAAAATGAACATTTTAGAAACACATATCACAAAGAACAAAATGCACTGGTGGTCCGTTGACATGTTGAAGTAAAATGGAACTAGTTACGTCTATTATTTAGAGACTCAACTCCTGTGAAACTATAAAAAGAAACACATGGGTCTAAGTTCAAGCTTTGCGAATAAGGGGGAAAATGGCAATGGAAATCTTGGTAGTTAGATGAAGTACTCTACTTTCACAGCATTAGAAATGCCATTAGAGATATCAAAGACATCTGACTAACCTCATGATCACCACCCTGACCTCCTTGAGGAGGAATTGCACCAGGATGAACAGGAGGATGAACAAGAACAGCAAGCAGATTTTTACCATCCGGACGAAGAACATCAGTAATATCGAGGGTGTGCCTTCGGAACATTCCTTTTGGAAGTACCTCTTTATGCCCATTCAAATACACTTCAGCTGAATAGTTTATTCCACGAAAGTTTAAACTCACATGCTGGTGTCCAGCCTACGGATGAAACATTGCAATAAAAAGTTCAATGTGTCAGCAATTTAGCACAAGAACTACACCCCTATTCAGTATAGTGTTACAGTGTCCTCGTTCCTGTAAGAGTCAAATACCACATACATTAAGAGCAGTTCCGGTGGTTGACAATCGTTAAAGCCAATAGTTGGAAAAGGGACAAAAGCAAGCAGGCCCAATAGTGCTGCTGCAGTATGGCTTTATGGAAGGCTTCAGTACAATAGGACCTAAATGCAACGTGGGTCGATTGAACACGCAATGTTATTTAGATCACAAGGATCTGATCGATTAAGCTAAGGAACACTTATTACCCAATCACCTCGATTTACAAGAGTATTCAGGCTAGCTTCATGTCTATAGAATTTCTTTTGCAAAAGGATGAACTGTAAGGCAATGCAGCAGAAGAAATCCATAGACAGACACAGTTTAGCTCAACAGCAGGCAGCTTAAACTCTTCCCTTGGAATTACCCGCTGTGGCTCCCCACAAAAAGTCTAAACACTGCAGTGCAAGTGTGCAACTGTCCTGCATGATGAACTTCCCCAAGCAACAAATTGCTTTTCAATTGTAAGTAGACAGCTTGACTGTGCGTAATTAACAACTCACTGTACCACATGCTACAGTACAGGCATTGTCGAAGGAACAGATGAATTAACAACTGCTGCACGGAAAAAAAAAATCAGTGCGTGACAGCGTGTGATTGCGTACCGGAGCGCACTGGAAGGTGGTGAAAAACCAGAAGGTGTAGTGCCCCCTCCCGGATTTGGCGATGTCGATGATCGACTCGTTGTTGAGGCCGTAGAAGGGGTCGGGGATCAGCTTGTTCTTCAGCAGCGTCCCCAGCACGCTGCATCCTCATCATCCAACAGAAACGGGGTCAGCTAAGCGGCGGAGCACGCGAGGGATAAACCAAAAAAAACCTGCAATTATTCTAATGGCGAAGCACACGCAACAGCAACTGGATAAACCACCGCACCGAGGCGCAAACCGCGCGAATCCCCCATGAAATTGGAGCTACTGTGACTGCGAGTGGTAGAAACGTAGAAATTCTCGCGGGGGGAAGGAGGGGGGAGGGGATCGGAGAGGGGAGGCGGAGAGACGTACGTGCCGGGGACGGCGGCGTGCATCCAGGGTGCCGTCGGCTCCGGGTCGGCGGGCGGCGGGTCGGTGGTGGTGAGCTGCTCGCCGGTGAGGGCCACCTCGGTGGAGCGCGCGGCGAGCCAGCCCGTGTCGAGCACCCGCTTCCCCACTTCGGCCGCCGCCGCCGCCGCAGCCGCAGCAGCAGCAGCCATCTCCGCTCCCGATCGCTAGGACGCCACCTATCTACGGATTTCTGGGAGGAGTCCACGCCGCCGATGGCTTTGGCGTTGGCGAGTGGGGTGTGGGGGTTTTGGAGCTCACGCAAACGCAAGCATTCCGGTTGAGTGCACGGCGGCGACGAGGGGTTTTTGGTTTGGAAGGTTGCGGGAGTGGGCCAACGCATCGTCACGGGGCGCCGCGCCGCGCGGGGGAGCGCCGTGTCGCGGGGGCAGTGAGACACGGTTGCATCATGCGCGATATGTCGATTTTGTGGTGGGGGGTGGGGGTGGGCAGCGGCGACGGCCGATCTCGTGGGTGTGCCGCGTGCGCGGCTTGGGATCGGAGTCGTCGGAGTGTGTTTTGGAGCATAAAATCGTGAACGGGATTGCTAAAAATACGTCGCCATGAAATATGATGGATTTTAGTCGGTTGAAACCAACCGTCAGATACGGATGTAAAATTACGTCATGTCACATGTGTACGTATATCGTCCCTCCGATTCACTTCTCTTCACAGCATATGCTATAGTTGATTTTTCTTAGCCACTTACACAGTAATTACACCCCATATGTAATTAGTATGTAATTTTCGAATTTACATATGTAATTTTAGGACTTACATATGTAATTTTGAGACTTACATTGTAAATACACTAAAATTAGATATGTAATTTAGAAACTTACAATGTAAATACATACCGACTGTTTTTTGATGAAAAATATGGCGTCATAAATATAGCTACACCCATTGTGAAAAGCACTGGGTTAGTACTCGTAGTGAGAGTACGAGATCCTGAAAAAATTGAGTTTTTTTAGTGTTTGACTTCTAACTTATTTTTTATTTTACAATTACAGTTTCTCAAAATCTAAACCAAGATATCCAAATCATGATTGTTTAGAGAACTTCTGGTTCTGATAGAAGCTGCAGCAGTTAAAACCTCCTCTAAATAGGTCTGGAGTACCTTATCCGGCTCGGTTTGTAGCTTTACATTTTTTTAATCCGTCATCTCGTTGGGCAGGTTTACTTTTTAATATAGGTTTTTAAATAGTTAAAAACACATGAATAAAGTGTTTGTATGTAGTAATTGTTTTCTTTTTCTAAAAAGGCATACGGCTTGTAATCGTATTAGCCCAACAATAAAATATTCGTCAATGGTTTTTATGGATATTTTTGTCCAGTAGATAGGAAAGGAAGAGTTATCCAATTAAAAACTACAACACCATATGGTTTGTCACAACCATCTCTGCTTTGGATAGCAGAGAATAATGTAGCTTTATATCTCCTCCCTAACCAATGGTAAAATGGTGATGCAATGGTACATTTTGTTTTTATCGGATCTCGACTATTTCCTTTGATATACTTTCTTGTACTATTAAGTCGAGTACTTAATAAATTGGAACTTCTCCTAACACGGTGACATTTGTGTTTGATTGCTACGAAACATTTGTGCAACGTGGCATTCCTCTTATCTAACAAAAAAGTACTATGAAAGGGGACCCACTAACATTACATATCCCTTTATCACTTATATATGAGCCCATGGGTGATGGAGTTTGCATGTTAGTGATCATGTTACTCTGATTTCACGTTAGAGGATCTCAATCCGTACTATATATTACTATGGTATTTCCTCCGTCCCAAAATATAATGTATTTTCCCCTTTAATTTATCTCAATATATAGCATATTTTGAGTTCCCAAGAACTGAAGCACATCAAACATTAAGTCCACTTTATCCATGTCCCCGTTGTGTCCTCTTGGGAGTGTTCATAACATGTAATGTTTTGTAAGCGCTAGGTGATTTAAATTTGTATGTTTAAACTATGATATGTGTAAATGGAGATAAAAATAGTGCCTGGTAGTGGCGGCAATTAAGTCCCACGCGGGAGTACTAAGTAGCAGTGATAATGACCACTATTGCAGCCACAATAGCAATAAACCATCAGTGGGATGTTCTTACTATTAGGATGATGTTGTTGCTAAAATAGTGACGGAAACATTATGAGTGTTAAAATAGTGGGCTAGCGGCTGCTATTGTGGCAAGAGCTATTTTACATGTTATAAAATGTTTTTATTTAACTTTTTAGGCTTGGTTATACGACTAATAAGTTGTATAAATGATACCTTCTGACTAAATTAGCTACAAATTATAATTTCAAAACTAAATTGATCTCACATAAATTAATATACACAAACAATTTACTTATATTTTGACTAGTATTTTTTTCGCACTATTGAAATATGTCCGCTATCCGCTATGACAATGAAAATCCACAATAATCGTCCCACTGTCCACTATTGTAGAGAGAACTTTTAGTTACCCATTGGCCACTGCAATGTAATTTCACGTTGTAGAGAGAGCTTTTGATTGTGTTAAATATACATGCCCATAGTCATTTTTAAGATAATGAATTAAAAAAATTGGTCTCTCCACCTATAACGGGTGAACACAGCCAGCATTGAAACAAATTATAGAGACCTTTACACAACGTTTAACCAAACAAACACCATTTAGCACTTAGACTCAACCTCTTCCATAACACCAAACAACTCAATAACAAGCACCCAAATAAAAGAGAAAGATAAACATGAAGCTACACTTCTAATCTTCTCATCAAGTTCCATCCAGACTTTGAAGAAAGACGAAAAGTTCTAACGTCCAGTAATTTGCACCCCCCCCCTTTTACCATATCACCCTCTCTTCCTCCTTAGGCAACGAAGATCATTGACGAATCAAATATATTCCCCTAAAAATTACCTGAAAAAATAGTTAAATTTGAAGTCATTGACGACTACATCATTTCTACAGAGCCAATCTACAACAACTTAAAGTTGCAGCCTCTATCAAGGTTTGGTACTTAAACATTCTATACCATTCAACCAGCTGTTGAATTTTGGCGGACCATTAGACGCGTACGTTGTGCACGCGTGCCGCCACGCCATGCGAAGTGAGCAAGCGCACGTGTGTTCCCCCTATTCTCTCCACCTCGCATGCTTCAAGTGGCTAGGAGAGCATCCTCCCTTATAAGAATGTCTCCTTCTCCTATAATAAGTAAGGTAGTACTAAACTCCCCATACATGACATCCCATGAGGTGGACTTTTGTGATTTTCCAAATAATTAATCTTCGAATGGGCTAAAACCCATCTATTAATTCCAACACCAATCACCAAACATATTAGCAACACTCATTGAAGAATTAAAAAACACATTCATGGGCGGCTAGTTTAATCCCAAAAGTAATAAAGACGGCATTCTATACAAATCTAGCAACTTGGCAATCAAAACAAATCCACCGTCATAATCAATAGGAATAGAAAAACTATCTGCTATTCATCAGTCATCTCAAGGAAGGCTAATATGTAGGGTTCATGAATATTTTCTCCACTAAATCAGGGTGCTTTCTTTGAGACCTGCATCAGTACTAGCTTTGACACCCTTAAAAAAAATCCACAATGTTAACACACACTAAATATTTGGTTAGCTTATCGCCGATTTTTTTCTCATCAGTTTGATGCACAATAGAGCTCCTAGGTGCAGCTGGAATAAACTTGAGACGAATGATAAAATTTGGTGCTGATTTCTATTGAGTTGCATGCATTGATTAGATCAACTCAAAAGCTTAAGTAATGAGAAAAGACGGGTATTGAGTTGCATGCATTGATTAGTCTAACTAAAAACTTAAGCTGATGAACAAATTTACTTATACTCCAACTCTTTCTTCTTTGTTACCATTCCGATTATGGATACCGAATTATTGCATGCATGTTTCTGAAGCTTGTAAAAGGTGCCTTTTTTTAAGAAACAATTCTTCATCAGTATCTGTTGGAAAACATTTTAAAACAAACTTTTCAACTCTAATATTGAATTTATTTATTTGTGCTCTTAAACAATTGTCACAAACTCAACTTAATCCATCATTCATTTGTATCAACACTTTAAACATGTCCAAAGGCAATTTTTTTTATGAATGTAGTGGAAAAAGAATACGTGTCATATATATACTCATTTACTCCCATTTTAAATTTTTTCATAATGCAACTCTGATCCATAATTTGACATGACCTCAACAGTTACAGTTACAGCTGATAGGGCCCATAGATTGCACCAAGTCACCAACTAACTACTGTTCAACAAATTGTCCACTCATATATGGCATATAGCACAGGAGAATAGGCAGCTATATATTGGCGATTGTTGAGCTTTTTATACGCGATTTTATTGACCTTTATAACTTTAGCGGTCCAAGCCTGAAACATATATATATATATATATATATATATATATATATATATATATATATATATATATAGAAGGAATCCAGAAGAAGGAACCCAGAAGGACACCCTATAAAGCATAAAGGAACAATATAGGGTGCGGTGAATGACATATCCCTGTGAAGAATAAAACTTTCGGCAGGAAAGGCCTCAACTTTAGCCTGCTCTCGTGAATCCACAGTAGCGAAGAGATAAGCAGGAGGCACAGGCGACGCCACCCCTGACCTCTATAAAAGGAGGGGCCTGCCCAGCTGAGGAGAACACAACAACGAAGACACCATTCAGAGCAAAGCTTCCAAGCGCGCTCTCACCCTCCATTCCACCGTTCTTAGTAGTAGTGACTTTAGCCTACCTTGCATAGTGTATTGAAGCAAGGAGTTGTGTTATAACGCTGTGTAAGGTAAGAACAGCTTGCTTGTACCTACCTTCGGGTTTCCCAAAAGGGAAAACCGTATGTAAGCTTATCTATTTAATATGAAGTAATTTTCCTTAAGTATTCCTGCACGTTAGTTCTAGACAAGTGTTTATGCTAAGGACCCTATAGGAGAAACCTCTTCGGTTTGTTCTCGTTTTTAGCCTGCATCTTGCATAGGCGTCTGGAGAATCGGTATCCGTAGAGAAGTGTTCCCTTCGGTTGGAACTGCCTGGGGAGACGATAAACTCTTAGCTAGAACAAGTGTGACTTGGAATATCTTTTTAAGTTGCTTCTAAAAAGACAGATAGGTGAGGCATACGGTGAGTACCGAGTAGGACTTTACATCATCTGAAACAAGCTTCTGAGGCTGTCTAAGTAGGATTCGCCACCCTGCAAAGATCCTAAAGTTAAAATATCTCTCGAAGTGAACAATATTGAACAGTAATTTGAACAGTAAACTGAATAGTAATCAGCCGAACAAACAGTAAACTGAATAGTAATCAGCCGAATAAACAGTAAACTGAATAGTAATCAGCCGAATAAATAGTGTTTTTGAACAATGTATATTGTTTGAAGT